TGTGGAATGGGTCTTTAAATTATCAAAGACCCAAAATAAGCAGAGATGGCTTGGCTCCAAGAATCTTAATGATCAGTAACATTTTACAGGAACATACATATATCAAAAGCACAACTTGTCAAAAAACTTGGTCTTCCACTATCTCATTTAACCGTGTTAGCAGCCAGTGAAATCATTTCACTGGCTCAACCTTTAACTATGGATGATGGCTGACCCTAATCTAGTATAGAAACGATTGTATATGGGAATAATGCTATACCTCTGACATTCAACTTTAGATAAGGACAAGACATAGGGTTCAGACTCTTAATTGTTCCAAGAAATTACTTCTGGTTTGACGGTTCGAGCAAACCACACGTTAACGAAAAGCTTCTCCAATGTAATGCTCCAAGCTTAATAAAATGAGAACAGATTCCTGTGTTTGATACGCTGGGAAGAGAAAGTTCTCAAAAATAGATGTTAAGTTAATGTAGAGTGATCCTCTATCTACCTAGTGTAACATAACTGATTTTTTAAGAACTTTCTGTGGAAATAATAAAGTCATCGTTTTGCTGGTATCCTGTGGAATTAGTCGAGATGTGCGAAAGCTGGCCTGGACACCACAGTCATCACAAAAAAAAAGTCATTTTGAGAAAGTCAAGGTTGAGGACTTTTACCTGAATTTTTTCCTGTAGAAAAGAGTCTCCAAAAGAACTGTACAGGGGATGATTGCTAATTTTGTCATCTAAAATGCAAAACAATGAAGAAAATCAGAAAAAAAAAACTGCATTTAAGATTCTAAAATTAGTCAGAAACTAAAAGGCTTGCTTTGTAGAGACAACTTAGAATTGAGTTTGTGATGAATGTTAGAGACCAATAGGGAACAAGAGAATCTCATCACATTAAGTAAAGTAGTTTATAACCACAAAAGGGAAAGAGTTTGCTGCCCTCCCCAATAAATGAAAATAGAAAAGAACCTTACAATTCAGCTAGCTATGTATGTTGATAATTAATTTCATAATGATCATTAAGCATTTCATAATAAGATTTTTGTAGCACATCGTGATGTGAATAATTCAGGTTACAGTGGAACAAGTTGCAATTTCAAGTTTAGATCTTATAAAACCTAACTACTCCAAACAAGTAATCACCAGAAAACTAATTTATGAGGAAAAGCTATCCCAGTGGATACATTGCTATACCTTGAAATATAAGTCCAGAAAAAAGGGGACAAGGAATGAGAATAAAGATAAAGGAGGGGGAAAAGAAGATCTTATCCAGATAAATCGCTATTTAAGGCAGCCAGGATCCCAGGTAAAAAACATTTAAACCAGATAGTCATTAACAGCAAAAAGGAAAAAGAACAAACCTGATAAAATCCAACAGAATTAAACCCCAGGCTTAGATTAAGAAGTCCAATAGAGGACCCATTCAGTATTCCAAACCCCATAACGGCTTTTGGATCAAAAGGCTTGTGCTCAAAAAATCTCATCCATCTTGCCACATGGAGAGAACAAAATGTAACTAAAAGATGCCAGCTTGTCAAAGTCGTAGCTGAGTGAAAATTTAAGAAGTTAGAAACTCAAAGCAGAATGATATAAGAATTGAAAATTTTCTTTTATGAGGTTTTGCAGGTACCAAAATAGAAGTGTCAACAAATCAACAATCCCCTGATCCAAATTGGATCATCCTTTTCCCAACTCCCTATTTCCTTATCAATTTTTTTATAAAAAAAAAGGTGTCAACTGACAACCAACTATATTTTAGATGTGAATGCGCAATATCTAGAAGTATCTTCCATTTCCATTATGTTCTAATTTTTGTTTAACTATATGCAAACACTTGCACATGATTTTGTGTTCTCTCCTCCTTCTTTTTTGGTACATTTGATTCTGTGTTCTCTCCTACTACTGCTCGTATGCCATAAGCCAAATTCACCAACTGTCAAATTGAGCTGTTTTACATTAAAGGAATAGAGGAAATAATTGCATAATGACTAAAGAAGAGCACAAACAGAGAAATAACTAAGCCAAATATTTGAGCTTGTTCTGGTCCCTACTAATTACATTGTCGAACCCATTTTTCAACAGAGAATATTGACGTTTACTGAATCGCATTCACCCAAACAACAACTATCTATGCCTCAATCCCAAGCTAGTTGGGTCGGCACATTCATCCCAATAGAAGAAACGAGACAATCTTAGAAAACTTTCCTGCACAAGCTCTTCGTGAATCTCATAGAACCATGTTAAAGCAATCTATGAATCAATCAACTATCCTTCAATCCTCTATGTTGATTATCCTCTATTTCGATGTATCAGCTAATTCATCTTTTAAGGTAAATTAAATACTACCAATTATAAAGCAGGTACCTAATTTCATGAAGCATGTAAGCAATTCACTTGTAATATTAGCCATTACACTAATGAACCCGAACAAAGAAAAACAACAAAACACCATCCATTATTTGCATTACGGAAAAAAGTTATCAAAACTCACCAAATGTAAAACCTAATGTGCTAATAAGCGCCTTATTGCAAATTACAATGGACACAGAAGACACCACCGACAAAGACAGTGCTCCAATGGTCCCCAGCTGAAACCTCTGGCTTTCTGTCATTTTCGCTCCTTCTCCAATTCCAACTTCAAAATCTACACATCAATATAAAATTTCACACATAAACCTAAATACAAAATCATCTCACAATTTGACAACCGAGTTTTTTTTTTACCTTATCTCAATCGTGCGTCCATGAATCATACAAAACCAGCTCAGCTGAAAACAAAACGTTCAAATATATTTAAAAACGAGATTTATTCAACATAAATATATACAGATCCAAACACGAACAACAAATTTTAAAAAAATGCAGAGTAATTTTTAAAAAAAATTAAGAATATGTTAATATATTAAGAAGATTACCGAAATGCAAAATTATAGATCTGATACTTTATATAAAATTGGATCATTTTGTCAATCTTCATACGATTATACGAACAAGTAAAAAGGAGAGAGAAAAATGGAGGAAGAAGAAGAACCTGTAAAGCTTCGGATCACGAAAATGGACAAAGGCGCTAAGTGTTCGATAGAAGTTGAAGCATTATTATTATTAGAATTAGAAAGAGAGCGGAGAAAATTGCACCACTAACATTTATACTTTTTTGTAATTTAATAGTTAAATTGGTGACTTCTTAACTGAATTCCTGCTAGCTTTTCGCCTGCGGGTCATGTGACTGTGTCTATGAGAGGGGTATATGTATTAATGAAATATTTGGGGAAATTGATGGGTTGCGACATGAATTGCATCTAATTTTGATAATTATTCTCTATCTTTTGTCGTAAAATTATTTGTAAGTTTTATTATTAGTTATGATAAGACAAAAATTTTAAATTTATTTTTTTAGATTTTTTAACTAAATTTCGATTAATTTTTTTTCCTACGGATCATGTGACTGTGTTTGTATCTGTGAAAAAAGTATATACAGGAAATATTTGGAGAAATCAATGGGTTTCAACATGAGTGTTGCACTCAGATGATAACCATCATCGACCTCTTATCTTAAGATTGTGATTCGAGTCACGTAAATAAATTTATAAATTTATTATATGTTATGCGATTAATCTCAATAATACGTAAAATTTCAAATTTGTTTTAATTCAAGTTAATATATATTATAAAATGAAAGAAAATATTGGAAGAAGATTTAATAGGTTTATAAGGAACATTGAAGTCTAACGTTCACCATAACGATTAAAATGGGTTTCAAATTTGTCTTTATGTCTTTTCTCTATTAATAATAGTTGAATAAATATTGTTATAATTTAACAATGCTTGGAAATAAAGACTTATTTCATATTAGTGATTGAATGTAGACATTTCTCTGACATTAATTAAAATATCTAGAAAATGAATCCAAACATATTACTACATTCATTGTTTCTCTTACATTAATTAAAATATCTAGAAAATGAATCCAAACATATTATTAGAGTACTACATTCATTGCTTCTAATATGTAAATGCATTCCAATCAAAATATTGATGAAATTAGAATTTCTAGAATACGAGTGCACCTTAAAAAATACAAATTATTAGTACTAGTTAAAATTGATTTCTAGTTTTTAAGGTAAATAACTCTAAACACAATAAAGTGCATTATGTAACTTTCTTATAATATGAGTGTTTGATTGTAATATTATGTCAATTTTAGAAATTATATACCTACAATATCTAATTTTATAAAGAAATTATGAATTTACATTCCGTACCTATAAATTCATTTGCAAATATTCTCACAAGTATTAAATTTGTTTACATTTGGATGGTTGTTACTTATTGTTCATATATCGTATTGTATCGTGCAATATTATTTTAATGAATACAATATTTGATTGATTTTATCATTCTCATTTCAATTGTCACACATTCATAGTTTGAATGATAAATATATAAGAAAAGTAAGAAACATATAGAGCTACTATGAAAATGTAAGGTAAATGATCAAACAATAATTATCAATAATAATAAATAAAGACAAAATGAGAAGAAAATATTCACATCAAATCAATTGTTATATAAAACGAGTATTTTCATTGTTATCTAATAATAAATATAAACGATATCATACAATATAATTTAAATAACAATCAAAACAAACATTATACTTAAACTAATAATACAATAGAACGGTAACAACCATCTAAACAAGGTGTTAAAAAAATCTTTAAAAGAATGAGAAGATCTAAATGTTCTTTTATTCTTCTATTACTTTACTGTTCCTATACAGAAAATCAAATATATTTAATACTATAATTTTTAATTTAGGAACTAAGTGTAAAGTAATTTTTTTTATTTGGCACAAATTACGAAACAGCATAGTCAGGACTTAACCCTTCTATTTGAAAATTGATTCAAACGAAGGATTTATATAATCGGAGCATCGCCGGAGTATTTTGTTCGGAGCTTTTATGCAACCGGCGAAGAAATCGAGGATCACCTGACCTAACCCGACCGGACAAAATTGATATTTTAAGGAACCCTACGAAGGATTTTGGGTTTTTAGGGTTCCATTTCATGCTTTTACGAATGGATATCGACACTGATATTTCTCATTGGATTCTCGAATTCATCCTCCGGCAACCGCTCGACGACGGCATTCTTAACGGCCTCATTCACGTTCTTCCACTCTCAAACGACAAGCCGAATTTAAAAAAGGCGCTGCTTATTCGAAAAATCGAATCTGAGATTTCTAACGGTTCAGTTAATGAAAAAATCCTTGAATTTCTCGAACTGATTGAGGAACTAAATCATCAAGACGGGATTGAAGCTTCAGAGGTTATGAAAGCCGCGTATTGTGCGGTGGCAGTGGAGTGTACGGTGAAGTTTTTGAATAGTGAAGGGACAGGAGGTGATAAAGGTAAGTATTTTGACGCAGTAAGGAGGATATGGAAACGGAGAATCAATTTAATGGAGAAAATGGAGAATGTAGGGTTTGTATCGGAAGAGTTATGGAATTGGAGGGATGAAATAGAGGCGGCTCTATGGGATGATAAGTGTTCTTACAATGTGATAAGGAAGAGTAAAGGCATAGTTGCTGTTGAGTCGGTTAAGTTTTTTGTTAGAGAAGCTAAAGAGAGAATGGGGTCTCCTTTTCTTGATGTTGTGGCGGAAACTTACCAGTCTGATGAGACAATGAAGGCACTTTTTGGAGAGGTGAACAAAGAAGGAGCTTGCTGGGAAAATTACAGAGGTAATGTGTTATTAAACTCTATGATATGATCAAATTTGGATGATAATTTTGTACCTATTATCTGCTTATTGCTCCAGTTCAATGAATGATGATCAAATTCTGTATGTTGCTGTTAAATGTTGAATTATGTGCTTTTTTCTGTAGTTTATATGGTCACCCTTGATTAGATATAAAGGGAGTACTTTTGACATTTCCTAGTAATACCAATATCAGTTTATCCTTGTTAAGGGGTAAAAGATTACTTTTTGACATTTTGCTTGCTGAACTCATATAAATTTCATAAGTTTATGTCTAGATGATTGTTTTTCTGCTTGCAGAAGTGTCCAAAGGAAGTGCATTGCGCAGGAAGAAGCATGTTGCTTTCAAACGCACCAGAGGAGGTGTCAGGATCAGTGATTCTATTGAGTCAGAACTTGAGGCGTCTGGTGGAGGTGGTCAGGATGGTTTACCGCCTTCAGCTGAAATACAGAAAGCAGAGAAAGCACTTAAATTGAGTTCATTGGAGCTGCGTGCTATGGTAAAGGATCCTCTACCTGATGCACTACGTTTTGCTGAGACTCTTTCTTTGGCAAGGGATAATATGGGTCATCAGCCTGCTGAGAATAGCAGTGACAGAGCCCCTCCTCCAATGGCCTCCAGTAGCAGAATGGTTCAAGCTAGTGGGGAGAAATGTGAGGCGCAGCATAATTGTCATGATAATGCTGCATCCAAGCCAGACCGAGTGAACCAAAACAGTGCTGCCAATCCACTTGAGGTATATGCATCAAAAAAGATTTTTTTCTCCACCTGCTTAAAAAATACACGGCCAAATGCTGCTTCTTGGCATGTATTGATGCACAATGCTCTTTAGTATGCTCTTGAATGTGTAGTAACTTGAAGTCTTCAATGCAAGATAGTATTTGTTTATCCTCAAAGCTTTACTAGCCTAGTGACTAAAGGATTTTTTGTGACTAAATGTGCAAAACTTTTTCCCATGCCAAGTAACGAAATGATTCTTTGTATAGTAGAGATTAGAGAGGTTAGATCAGATATTAGCTCTAGATTTGGTTTTGCAAGACGAATATTATAGCACAAACATTAAAGCATATTCTTGTTTGAAAAAAATTGTCCTAGGCACCCAAACTGTATTTGAGAAAAATATCCAAATAGAGGGAAACAAATTTGTAATTTATGCGTGCTAATGGAAACAAACGCTGAATTTTATATACAGTTGGATGATTTCTTAGACGAGGTAACTGAAGAATCACCAAGTAAAGCGAATAGGGTTACATTACCTACACCAAAGACGACGAAAGTTTCTCCCCTGAAGAAGTATGAATTTAAAAAGATCACCACGAGGAGAAAGCCCATGAAATGGAGTTCGTTGGAAGAAGACACTTTGAGAACTGGTGTACAGAAGTATGGAGCATCTCTTACTTCCTCTGACTTCAAAGAAATAACGACACAAGGTTTAGTGCTCTAATTGTTTTCCTTTTTTTCGTAGGTATGGTACTGGAAACTGGAAGGTCATCTTAGACACTTATCATGACATATTTTTAGTGAGGACAGCAGTAAGTGTTTCTGATACTACTACTATTTATAGACTGGTCGTATATTACTCCTACTTATGAAGTCTAAACAATTTTGTTCAGTGCGACTTGAAGGACAAGTGGAGAAACATGATATCGTAGGTATTTATTTTGAAGAAATTTCACTCTTGTATGAGAGCCTTTTGTTTTCTTAAGCAGAGGTATGGCCTTGCATATTTTTTTTGTATCATGTAAATGTCAAACTTCCTCCCTGTGTATTTTGTTAGATACATAATACTTCAGATGAATGTTATTGTATATCATGTTTCTCTGGAGAAAGCTGTGAGCATGTTCATATACACTCTAGAAATAGTTGCCTTTTTAGGTCCTTGTGACTAATTTAAATCAGTGGACACAAATTTCAAGCTAAAGGACAGTGAAACAAGTGAATTACTAAATTTCAAGCTCAACTGATAATATGAATCCAGATGCCTTTTAGATTTCAAATTGAGTTAGTTAATAGTTAAAAAACACAACAAAAGTATCACCTTTTTTGGCGAGTTTCATACCTCAACTCTCTATTGTTCTATTTACCTATCTATAACTCTCTTCGTATTAATACACATATTAATGCGTAGTTGGCCTACACGCATTTGTACTTACCATCACTGTGTGTTGTAAAAGTGAGAATTTAGGTAGGTAAAGAGAACAATTGATAGTTGAGGTATGAAATCCGCGAAAAAGTAATAGTTCTTGTGTGTTTTTTTTACCATTAGCTCTTTCAAATATTTGTACATGTATTGTGACTATCATCTATCACAAGCTTTGTTGTTGATTGAGAACAAATATTTGGTCAATTCAACATTGAGGTGCTTTTTAATACAAAAGGAGTGATGGTTTAGGCTGATAAAGAGAATAATGGATAGTTGAGATATAAAACTTGCCAAAAAGTTAAAGTTTAGATGCATTTTTTAGTCATTAAATCTTTCAAATATTAGTAATTGATATTAACTTACTCAATAATGTTGACGGGTTTCAATTATTGTCTGAAGTTGATTTTGAAGCCGCCAAACTTTAATGACCTTGTAAATTTCAGCTAGTATTTTTCAAATAGGGTTCCTAAAATGGTTATTATTGCAATTCGTTCATAATAATGTAGTGAGTTGATCACTCAATTTATCTGTTGTGATTTTTAAAAGTAATTGTCTCAAATTGTCATTTTAGAAGTTTAAGACAACTAAATATTTTTTTCTCATTTCTATGATAGTAAATTAGTAATTGCTCTAGAATATTACAAACACCTCACCCTAAAATAAATAAAGAATTTTGTGCTAATAATATAAACGCCTTTAAATTGTATTTAACGGTAATAGTAAATATAAGTATTTATAATCAATACTTAATACAAATATCGTTAAACGCTTTAGCGATGGTATTAACTCAATTATTATTAAATGTTTTTGCGGTTGCTAATAGCAAGACCTATTACAACTAAATGTCTCTTTTATTGTAGTAGATCAAGTGAGTAAATATTTAATGAAGAGAGCTTATAGCTTAAGAAATAAACAATAATCAGAAAAGACCTTCCAAATTAATGTTTTCTAAAGGAACGTGTAAAAGAGAAACATGACAAATTATTTAAGACAAAAGAAGTATCAATCACTTCTTTACTTTAGACTGCTGAATTTGGTATAGAGAGGTTTTCTCTCCGCTTTAAACGTCTTTTCCCCGCCTGTTCAAGCCACTAATAAGCAAATCGAGTAGAAGAGAAGGCTCGGAACTAGGTTGACTGAGATTGCCAACTACAAGAAAAGAGAGAAAGTAAGTCGGAAACTTAACGAGCAAATGCCATGTGCTCTATCAATCTAGTCTCAGACATTCCAGCAAGCGAGCGAGTGAGACTAATGAAACCAAGGTACACTGAAGACAAAGCAATTCATTGCATTAATCTTCCTCCGTCTCAATTTGTGTAACACCATTTGACTTGACATAAAGTCTAAGGAAGACTTCTAAAATTTGTGGTCTATAAATCCTTGATCATTTGTGTGAGAGTGAATGTGACTATAAATCGTTTTATCAGGATAAATGAGAAATTTAAAAGTTAAATATGATTATAAAAAGGTAACATTTTTGCACGGACTTAAAAAAGAAAAATGTGTCACATAAATTGAAACATAAGAAATACTATTTAGAGCAAGAGGTGTGTATCAACGGATTTGGTCCAATTTTATATACGATTTGTCAATTTTTTATTTGTGAACACGTTAACCTGATTATCAAACCACTAAGATATTTATTATTGATTTTCAATTAAGTGATTTTTTATCCTTAATGGTTTGATCGATAATCAATAATACAATGCTCATATAATCATGTATACAATATATTCATAAAATAGAAATAGTAGCAGGATTTTGTATACAAGATATTCACAAAATAGAAATAGTAGCAAGAATACAAGTGTAAGACATATTGTTCGAATTTGTTCTCAAAGACACGCACAATAAATTGCGATAATAACACTAACTTGTATGTCTGTCACAATCAAATCTAAAATTGGAAAGAGAAAAGGTAATACTAATTAGTGTCGTGAAGAGAGAAGATAACGGAATAGAAAGACCAGTTTGAGTTGCCATGGTCAAAAGTAATACTGAAATTTAGGAAATAAAGTTGGTACAATGTAAAAATCATTGTTATATAATTAGGAATAAAATAGTAATTTTAATATAATCTTATCGAATGATCAACCAAAATCATAAAATCGAAAATCGAACCAATAGCCCAATAAAAAAATTACAAAAACATTAAACCAATGGTGTTTTTCTCTGTTCAATTTATCGGTTAAACCAAATTTTGCACACCCCTATAATTAGAGGCCATAAACTTCAAATTTTGGATCCGCCAAATCAAAAGATAAAATAATGGTGCAACCTAAAAAGAATCAAATGATGTCACAAACTTCCCTGAACTTTGGTAGTTTTTCCTTGATAGAGTACAGTAGTACACATTAGGTAAAAGAACAAAGTACATTTTCCAGCAGAAGGTATGTATGAGAACCCACAAAAAGTGAAGGAATTTAAGACACAACAGACTCCTTCAACTGTGAGTATGTATAACACCTCAACAATGAGGTTGTGAACAACACTATATATCTTAACAAAAGGCTCATATAACTGGAAAAAACACAAAAGAAATTACCAAACCAAAGGTAGGGACTTAATTTACGCTTCGGCACCTTTACCCCCTGGTTCAACATCTGCAGTTTTCACGAATCCGTTATCAGGATGGTGCCCTTCACTCTCACTGGCAGCTTGTGACAGTAAAGAGTTGCCCAAGCTCTCGAGCCTGTTCTGCGTTAGATACTCCAGGGGAAGGTTGGTAGCATTAACAAGGGAGGTCATGCTCATTCCAGCAGTGGCCTCAGCTAGCATGTCATCATCACGGTTCGGATGGCAGTTCAGGTCCAACTGTCCCTTCCCAGGTCCGAACTCCTCCACTTGATCCCCGTTTGAATTCCTCTCATTGTCAGAGTGATTCATGTGTTCGTTCTCGGAATGATTCATTTGAAGCAACTCTATTCCACTCGTCATCCCATCTGTTTCTGGTTCATCTTTAGGAGGGACCTGATCTTTTGCCTGTGCAAGTTCTGCTTCTCTTTCTGATTGCTTTTTCTTCTTACGCAACATGAGTGTTTTAAAACGACGTTTCACAGTCAAACAGACATTGCACTTACACGTGGGATGGTGCTTGCCCTTCCCACTTGGAGGCTGAATGCACACAATGCAACTGCAACCAGGGCGATGCCGAGGATGTTTTGTTGTGGCTCCAACTGAAGGCTCTCCCATGTCGCCAATGCTATCTCCCATGTCGCTAGCAGCAACTGTTGCCAAGGCATCTAGGCCAGAAGACTCTAAATCTTCATTGTTTTCTACAAGTTTTCGCCTCTTAGGGTCTGGAATGAGGAGACACTCATAGTGAGTTGACTTAGATTATCTAAACAAAGGTAAGCATAATTCATATGTTTCAATTTATAAAGTGTTTCATACAAGAATTATAATGCATCTACTATTTTTTTAAACTAATTTGACACATTCATCATAAAGCCCTTCATAAACTGGGTGGCAACAAAGAAGCTCTCGAACTTGCTGGAATCCCGAAGGAACATCAATGTAACACATTTTATTTGGCAGCTCTTTAGGATGTTAGGGGGCGTGAGATATGGATTGCGCAATTAAAATATCACAGATAAAAAAAAAAAGAAAACCAAAAAGAAAGCTTCCCCACCAACCATAGTGAAACAGATTTCCTAAAGTGTAGTGCTTTGAGCAGATGAACATCAAGATATAAATGAAAAGTCGATTTCCTAGAATCAGGAGAAAAGTCTGTTTAGCAGAAATTCCTTAGTCTCACTTTTTTGAAATGTTTTTTAAAAATAAACCTTAAACCTTCAAGATGAACCATCAATTCCTAACAGAAAGGTGTATTTTGTAAATGCAAGTAAACGGAAAAGTGAGTCCTTAAACTTGCATTACTTGCATTTACAAAATGCACAGAATTTGATGGTTCAACTTGAAGCTTGTACATAGAACTATTTATTCCTTGTGAAAAGTGACCTTTTAGCGACGAAACCTTTTAAAAGCTGTTACTCAAAAGCACATTCAAATCTTCTACCAGCAATAAACCCATTTAAATCACACGTTGTCATTCTTGCCCATATATATTTATATATATATATTTCCTTACTACTTCTTGATCATATCCTTGTGAAGATTGTGTGTCATTAACAAAGAATCAGCAGGTAAAAAAAATAGGAGGGAAGATTTCTGTTAAATAATGAGAAAAGATATCCAATACCCTTGCCAACTCTAAGGAGAGCTTCCAGTTCCCTCGGACTAATATCATCAGGAATAGCACAAGAGCATCTGTAATAAAGTTTGCAGAAAAAGGGTAAGAAACGGTCATTCTTCAGAGAGTATCTATTTAATATATGAAATAGCACACAATTTGTATAGGCCAATTCCCATAAAACACAGAGACACCACATGAAACAAAGCAAATGCATCTGAAAAACACGATTCATTCATCTAACACAAACATATCTTCAGTTTGTACAGACTACCAATATCATAGTAAGAAGCAACTAAATTTGGTAGAGCGGAATTACACCCATGTTTATGGTTTACCTATCAAGAGAGAGACCACTACATGGGTAAAAAGCAAATTTTCTTTTTCTTTTAGCTATGTGATATCTTAAAAAATGAAAATGATATAACTAGTCTAGTCTCAAAAGTGAATCCGAAGTGGGAGATCAATGGAACCAGATATAGACCTTCTTGAGTCCCAAATATTGTCAGAACAAGTCCACTTTGCAGGAAGGAGAACGTGAAAAGGCAATCTACGCCATTTAGCACAGCTGTCACATTGAGCCCATTGCTCCTGATCCCTGTGCAACGGTACAACAGAAATCAGCATTGAAATCCAACAAAAACAAAATATCAGACAGATAGCAACCAAACATTTCTCGTAAGTGTAGTTTTGATATGACCAGCAAAGGCAAAGGTGAACATTATTAACAAAGCACCAACAGATCTTAGAGCTTTTTTGCTCTTTTTGCTTTTGATAACATTGGTCTGCACAAGTTGATCCATTGACATAATAGATAACTACAAATAAGTTTCACTCGGTACATTTAGTTTTTCCCTTACCCAGAAGATCGGGCAGTAAATATTGTCCTCTTTCCAAAGACTGGTGCTTCCTATTGAGGAAGAAAAAAAGAGAATTAAACTTGATTGACTATATGAAAAACGAACAATATAGCATTAGAAGTAAAGAGACAATTTTTGTGGTTTCCGTATTTTGGTTGCACTTACTTCATATTCCTCAAATTCACAGTCCTCAACCACAACAATGTTAGGCTTGGCAGTTGGAGATGGCCGTAGCAATTCTTGTATTTCTTCCCAAGTGATTCTAAGTTCCATAGCATCATCAGCATGCATAAGAAGCCTCTTATTTTTGGACCCAATGTTTCTTGCCTTTTTCTTCTCTGACATCGGCACTTGCCGGTTAACAGTATCATCACTTGTCCTGCCTCCATTCTTTTCATGTTTTGGATGGTAAAAAGAATTCGCATTACGGGAAAGAGCAAATTCAAATTGCTGCAAGCATGTGACAATACCTGCTTTGCAAAAACACCTAGAAGGCTAGAGTAAACACTCACCGGAAGGTTATCAGCCATGCCAGAAAATGAAGTTTCTCCAGAGCCATTGCCACTGGGAAGGTTAGGCGTTTGAGGATCCTGTTTTGCATACAAAAAGAGGGAAATAAACTCACTTCACTAATCAGGAAAAGAGCGCTAACTATAGCGAACAATGTTTCTGTAGATAACCTGCATGTCAACATTGTTTGTTGCCTTCCGAAATCCCATAACAAGCTTTCCTCCAGGATCTATTCGACTGAAGATCACTACAACAATAGACCATAATTAGTATTTCTATCTGAAAATCATAATCGCTATCAAATGCAGAATCAATTGATGACCAAACTGAAGGAAAGACAGTATCTACAGTCTGATAACTAGCCACTCTGCCAGAGATGGAAAAATATTTCTTTTATTAGATGAAAGCATGAACATTTACCAGTATCACCAGCTTGCAATTGCATATTCTGTATACAAGGGGTAACACCCTCCAAAACATACATCCGGCTGTTGTTATTGGGCCAAAATCGGAATTGAAATGTCCACTCTTTACCCTTAATATCCTGAATCCTTATAGGTAGACCCTCTGATTGGTTAATTGGAGGGAAGTATGCCTGCAAAGGAATTGGCATTGATTAAGCAGAAAAGGTGCATCACAAGCTAACCATTCGAGGCCATAAAGATAACAGGCAAGATATCATATTGTCTAAACTTCACAAAGTAGATAAAAATCTGAAGAAGTAACTATTACTTCAGCACATGCTTTGGGAAGAACCAGACGGCCTATTCGTCCAGCATCACTGGCACTTAGGACCTTCTCAAACAGTGGTACAATAGTAGACTTTAAGCTGAAATTCCAGTTAAAGTAAACAAAATAAGAGTGATACACAACTCAAAGACAACTAACAGCAACCAAAAATAATACGTTGTCAAGGATACTCTCCAGCTAATTTCTCCAACTCCTGGTCTGTAATCCGAGGCCAGTATCGAGGCAGTAACTGACTGCGTCCACCACGCCCTTCAGCAGGTGGCCTTGCAATCCGTGCTTGTGAAGCCATTCCTTTGACTGATTCAGAACCTGAGGTGGGGCTAGGTTTGGGGGGCTTGGGCAATATATGGCGTGCCCTTTGGCCCTGTTGGAAGGGAGAAGTTTTGCTTTGTTCCCTTCCTTCAACATCTCCACCAAGAAAAGGCTGTCCTGAACTTGAAGTACCAATTGGAGTACTTAAACAGAAATTTAGAGACGGCTGATTGATCGATTCATACATATCTTTAACACCTTGACTTGGTCTCTCATTATCGGGTTTGCCAAAGAGAGAAGCTCCAATGTTCTGCTGATTCAAATTCGAAAAGCATGTGCCAACATTACCAATAGGAAGCATTGTATCTTGTTTCTTGTCATTCCTCTGCGTTTGAAAGAGTTGACCAGGCTCATTGGTCTGCATAAGCCTTCTTCGTTCAAAGTCATTCTCATCTATTTTATTCTCAACGCCCAGTGGCTGTGCACTCTTAGATCCCAAGGTGCCATTAGGAAAATCATCACCAGGTATCTGCAAAAGCATTTATAAGATGATTTAAGACTCAAATTACATCAACTGACCATCAGCTAAATTTGTCAAAGAGAATACTTTCAAGGAATGCAACAATTAGTAACAGACCACATGAAGTGGGCCTACACATTCAAAGCACACGTAAAACGAACTCCAATTAGATAAGTGAAATAAAAGAAAGAGACAAAATTCATTTGTCAATATCTTGAATTTGTTTGTTTCTTTCAAGGATTAGGTTTTGGCTTTCCGGTGGGATTGTCTTTCAATGTTGCATGGGAACAATATAGACGCCAGATATATAGTTATAATAACACCAGAAAACCAAAACACATAGAATGTTTGCTAACCCTGAGGGGTAGCTCAGCTGGTAAAGGCCTGGGACAAAGTCCTTCAAGTCGCCGGTTCGAGCCCCAGCAGGGCCACTGGAGGCATTACAAACCGGCCGCGTCTCCAGGGCCCCGTGGAACTAACCGTGGTGGACCCGCCTTGAAACAGCGGGACCCGGTGGGTACAGCTAGTCGGGTTCGCAAAGCGACGCCCGGAAACCACGGTAAAAAAAAAAAAAAAAAAAAAAAAAAAAAACATAGAATGTTTGCTCTAAGTGAAAAAGCTGCATCAATTTGCCGAATTAATATGTGAAGGGTAGAAAGTGATATACTAAGGTGGCAGTTACAATTTTCACTCTGGATGGTTACTTAGTACTCCAGCATGGAACCACACTGCGATTAACCTTACTCTTCTCCCCTAATGGAGACAAATTATTTTGACCCTGCATTTTTAGATACTTACCCATATCTTTAAAATATTATTTAGAAAGTTTTCTTAAAATATGACAAGTAAGATAAGACATTGTACTCAAATATACCAAGTAAGCTTGCCAGAAAGAGCATATATCAAGTACGACAAGTGAACGTCTGAATATCAAATAATCAAATATTAAAGCACAGACAAAAAAGAAAAAAAGAAAAAAAGAAAAAAAGAAAAAAGAGAGCAGCCTGTTGTGTCTGTGTTGCAAGGAAATGACACTTGCATTGACACAATACAGACACAAGATACATAGGACGATTTATCTTAAGTGCAAAAGCTGTCTCAATTTGCAGAATTACTATGTGAAGTTTTGAAAGTAATATTATGCAGTGGCCGTCTGAATTTTCACCATTGATGGTTATCAGCATGAAAGTAAACTGCCTTTGGCTTCACTCTTCTCCCATTAATGGAGAGCTAATTTTGACCCTGTTGTTTTAACTATATCCGCACATCTTTAAATTAAACAACTACTAATACTACTAACGCTTCATTTCCAACTACAAACCTCTCTATAATGGTGTTGTTTGCCTCGATATCTCTTTGTTTCTATAGTGAAGTGTTGTTATAGAAAATACATAATGTAACATGAAAAATCGATTCCAAAACAATCTTGGCCATTATAGTGAAATGTTGGTATAGAGGTCAAAGGATGGTTGCTATAGAGAAGTTTGACGGTAGTTGGATCGCTCTATAGTGGAATATATAATCGCACTATCTGCTTTGCTCTATTTGCAAGTATTATTCCAATAATTCAATAACTTGAGATTCTCTACCTCTTACTACATACACATCTCTACACAGACTGAACCTAATTATTATAACTAGAAGTGAACGATCATGAGTAAAATAATTTTTTTTAGTACATGACAACTAAAAATAGAGAATTTATGTCAATTACAAAGTAAGCTTGCCAAGAGAGCAAAAAATAAATTTGACAAGTTAATATGTGCATATGATACTAAACGTCAATAAAACACAACGAAGTTTATATAAAAAGAGGTTGATTTATTGATTGATTAGAGAAACAGAAATAAATAAAGGAGAGTATGTACATATGTTTTATAACTATACAAATATCTTGACCCATGTACCTTTTTCTATTTACAATTTTCTTGACCATTTCCTTTAACAAAATCTTTTTTCATCCAAAATTTTAATGTGTAAATGAACAATTCTAGATTTTCAATACCATTTCTTTAATGCGATGAACCTTAAAACCAAGTAACCAACAACAATCACCAATTTAATTTTTTATCCATTCCAATAAGTTTGACGTCTTTCCATGGATGAAAAGTATTCTTCCTTTAATAATTTAAATTAGTAATCCTATCCCAATTTTTATTACATCCCTTCCATTTTGGTGCATTCGAAAATATTTCATACCATTCCACTAATAAATATTATTTTATACAATTTTCACAAGTTCTTAAAATTCAAATCTATTCACCTATCAAATTTATGAGACGTGAATTTTTCTCTCTTAATCTATTTCTTTCAACTATTAGGTTAAGTTGTTCTTACATTACTAATTTGTAAAATATACAAGTCAAATGATATCTTAAACTGCTTATCCAACCAAATGGTGTCACCTAAATTAAAAGGAGTAAAAAACTACCACTATAATTTATTATTTCACATCTTTGTAACCACTATTCAATTTTTACATTCCAAATTATTATTATAAACGCTTCTTTATTAATCATGGTATAATAATCTTAAACATTTTATCTTATTATCTATACAAGTCAAAGTATGTATTCGTATTGGGATGGAGTATTTTTGACAAACTACTTCATTTTACTCATTTGAGTTATTGTCTTTACATGCTCTAAAGTTCTCATATAATTTTTCTTTTTTTATTCCCTAAACTAATCAAATGCAATAAAGTAAAATAAATAGAGCAAAACATGTGAATGAGGCATAACCATTTCACAAAGCTCAAGGACTTCAAGCTATTTTAGGTTCATCTCCCTAAAAGTGAGGTTATCAGCTTATTTCGTGTTCAAACATCCTCATATTGAGTTGTTGCAGTAAAAAGTATTGGAGAGAAATTCACTGTTCCTCCTTCTCCATAAGCGTATTTATTTTATTCATAAAATAAATTGCACTAAGATGCTTATAATACTAAAAATTTTAGAGAGCACAAAGAAGTTGTAAAATCTTCTAAGTCATTTACATTTTCTAATTTAAGCGAAAACTATGGTGTGGAAGCATTTGGCTTTCTAGAGAAGGCCCCTTCAAAACATCTCCAATTTCTTTGTTTCCATAAAGTCCATCCTATACATAATACTCCTTTAAGACAACAAGGATCTACTACTCTAAAGTTAAAATTATTTTTTTAAGGATGTTAACAGCATATTCATCAGCACAAAACGCTGGCTGGTAACCAAATTTACATAAAAAGATCCAACGGATTAATCTGCCCTTTTGTACTTACAAGGATTGTTTTGCTTTCATTTTGGAACAACAAGGCTTTTCTACATAATTCTAAAGCCATGTTGGACTTCATGAACTCATAATACAACCTGCGAATCTCTACAATTAGGTTTATACTTTTGGATGTGACTCCGGCACATCCTTGGTTCTACTTTAGTGTTCTCCCACACCGATGCAGCGACCTACAACCATCCTTTAGTTTACTATAGAAGCAGCAACATTATAGGGTTAAACAGAAGCAGCAAACCTTCCTACTTCACTAGCAGAGAATATGCAACTTAAAATTACTCATGAGATCTAATGAAGAACCAGATAACAATATAGAAGTTAACAGAGTTTATGAGACAACGTTAATATATGGTATACTTGACCAAGTTACTGTTAAGCATTAGCTATCCAAGTACAATGATGACAATGAATATGGTGCTAAGCATATAAATTAGTCTCATTAATCCAGAATAGGGGGAGAGAGGCAGAAGACACGATACTGAGGTTTTAGGTTCACTTCACAACTAACTGCATACACTCTATGCAAACCCTACCTCTACCTTGGGAGGTAGACTGGTAGAGAGGTTATTTCCGATAGACCCTCGGCTCAAGGGAAAACATATAAAAAAGAAATAACGGAAGTGAAGAAATCATGGCAATTACTACAAAAATGAATAAACAATTTTTTTTTTTAAAAATAAGGATACCTGTATTGGCCTGATGGAATGACCATCCAAATGACGTGCACATTTTATACATGTAACACCTCCGTAATCCAAGTACTCATACAAATATTTTGAGGCAATGCACCCACAGTGTATAGGCTGCCAGACCAAATGAAGATAGAATCAAAAACACTAGTTGACCATGCAAGTCTAGTACAGTTGACCATGCAAATATAGTACATGAGATTCAGTGACCTACCTTTCTACAAGTTCTGCATTCCCTCCAACCAGATTCATCCGGGTGGAATGTTTCACAGAAAACTAAATTCTCAAAAGCAGATCTACAGATAAAAAATGAGGAGAAATCATAACTTTCGTTTACTGATTGCATAATTAACTAATAAATAGCTAGGCAGAAATACCATATAAATTACGAGTCAACTATAAGTCAAGACTGATGAAAAGGCTCTTACTTTGTGACACTTATATAAAGAAGAGCAAAGAAAAAAAATTAACATTAGCAATATGAGTCCGGAACAACAACAGTGTCTTACAAGGGAGCTCTAAGAAAGAAGTTGAATTTCCAACTGTAAGAACTTATACTATGATTTTTTTTTCTATAACGTAAGGTAACAACTATAACAATTTATACTTCCGATTTCAAGAACCAAAAAGAACCACAGTAAGTCATCAACAACCAAACAGTTGACAAAGATGCTGACATACCATTTTACATGGGAAGACCAACAAAAAACAACAGAGCAAGAAAGTACTACTGCCTCAAACGATAAACTATTTTGCGCAAGTTATTATCTTGGAACTCGCTGCATCTAACTATAAATGCCTTAGTGTTTTAAGATATAACATGGAAACATATAAGCCCAAAACTAATGAAAGATCTCATCTTTACTCCCAATGACCAATAAATCATCAAGTTAAACTCATTTTTCTTCTAAAACTACTGAAAGATCTCATCTTTATTTCCAATGACCACTAATTCATCAAGTAATACTCATTTTTCTTTTGTTAAAAGCTTGAAAATAAGAAAATGAAAACATGAAGGTCCTTTGAATTCTGACCTTCCATCTCCTTCCTCCAAATTAACACTTCAATACTTTACGAAATACACATCGAAGACCAAACTATTACGCGTAATATGTAATCACAGTATGCACTAACAAAAGGTGGAGGGCACTCACTCTTGAAGGAGAAACCAATATGCCACAAATGTGATATTTGACTAAAAACCCAAAATTTAGGAACAATCCCATAATGCAACAAACAGAAATTTCTCTACAACAAGAAAAAATAAATTGCCCCCCTCTATTTCAGGGAGATCCACAAAAACCCCATATCCCCAGACTACCCTTTACATCAGAAAATCAACACAGATATATAGCAAAAAAAGCTACAATTAATTTAGTACAAGATAAATTAATTACCCGCAGTTGTAGCAAAGCTTAGCAAATCCACCGGATTTGAATCCCCATCCTTTCTTCCACTCAACCGACGTCGTTGCACGACATAACTCATTCATGCAAATCATTGACCCCATTTTTTCCCTAAAAATCAAACCTTTAACAACAAATCTTTTAAATCAACACAAACCCTAAAACACCCATCAAGAAAACAGTAAACCCAGATCAAATAATCAAAAAAAACTTTAAAAAATACCTTCAGTATCAAATGTAACGAATACCCAGATGAAAAATCAACCTTAGCATGAGCACATAACTTACAAAATCTTGAACTGAATCAAAATGGGTCAAACACACACACTGTAGAAAAAATAAATAAAAAATTAACGGTGGTGGTCGGTGATTTCCGATGAAGATAGAAAAACAGAGCAGATAAAGATTCAATTTTGCAAAGAATTTTAGAGAGAGAATACAAAAAAAAGAGATTTTTTTCAGATTTTTAGAGAGAGAAAGTTGAATGTGTGCATGGAGAGTCTACATAGCAAAGAAGATGAAGAAGAAAAATAAAATGGATACACAAAATGCATGCACGACACTTGAAGACAGACACCCACCGCAAGGTCTTCTTCTATACTTTACAGAAAAATTTCCTTTTTTTTTTCATACAAATTTAAAACAAATTAATTCTTGTTTTTATTTTTTAAAATTATTTTATTTACTTTTGGTCAATTTTTTCGGACAGTGATACGATTGACCCCTATAGTTTCGTGAATTCCCATGTCCCCTTTTGGTATTTATGACGTCAAATATATCTTTTTTAAAAGAAGTCAAGATTTACTGTTTTATACTTTGAATAAAAAGTTACCAGGTCAGGTAAATTTCAACATGAATGAATCTAGGAAAAAAAGTGTTATTTTTACTGATATAATATAATGTGGAAAAGATTTTTATATATAATTATGAAAAGTTTGGTTTTGTAATTCATTGTGAATGTTAGTATTATTTATAGTTTACTCTTGGAAAGTTACATTAAGAACTACTATGTTATTTTTCATATCGATTTTTTCTTTTTATTTTGCTTTTGATTACGTTTATTTTAAATTGAGGGTCTATAAAAAAATAGTTTTTTTATATCATAAAGATAATAAGATATGTGTATATGCTATACTTTTTTTCAAACTCTACTCATGAAAATATCAAGAGATTATAAATGAAAACATAAATTATTTTTGTAGGAGTTTTTGTTAGATTTAATTTGTAGGGATCATATATGAGATCATTTTGTGACTGTTTATAGATAATGATGATATAGTGTGTCGAATTTTTTCACTATTATGGTATTTATATTGCTAAAAGATCAAGCATGTTATTATAAAGATAAAATTGAAAAATTAAAAGTTAAAAAGAATTTTTAAATATCAAAATGTGTTTGTTTAACACATTGAAAAGGGACAAATATCATATAATGAATTTTATTTTATTTTTTAATTATTTTTTAAAAAAAATGTGTTAGTATTAAGCTAAATAAGTCAAGCTGCGTGCATGTCAGTTAAAACAAAAACTGATTATTAACAATTCTGATAATCATGATATCTTTTCAAAAATATTCATGACATGAAATAAAATTGACTAGTGTCATATTCGTTGACGTATAAGATAATTATAGATAAATTTAATTAATAAGTATTAATTAATATTACGATATTTAATATTTAATATATGATATAATAAATTAAAATTTATTCATAGTCTAAAAAGATTTGTATCTTAATTATTCTTGTATATAATTTCAATCCTTCTATTTATGTATGAATGTTGATTATAATGTGATAGTAAAATTGTAAGAATAGTTATATTAACTTTGACTGATTAATTAATTTAACACTAAAATTGGCATCAAGGAAAATATATTCATGAATTTTTCATGGTTTACTTCCCTACCAAACGCACCCTAAATGTCAACCCTTTGCAAGTTTTTTTTTTTTTTTTTTTTTTTTTTTTATACATTTAGATATCATGAGATTATTTATAGCATTTAAGGTTTACTAGTAAGTTTATATTCTAGGAGGAGTAATAATTTAGATATATTTGTATGAGTCAAACATAGAAAAAATTATTGAAATATTTTGAAGAATCTTTAACTAGTCAATTATTAGTTTGTTGTGTTATTGTTTTTGACTTGATCGTATTATGTATTATTTTAGTTTGTCATCATATAACTACAATTAGTAAAAATAATGGAAGTTCACAATGTTTATATTTTAAAACTATTTGTAAATAATCTCAAAAGTATATTTTGTATAGAAATTTTATTATTTCTCAGCCTATATGCACATAATCTCAATTATACTAAATGAGTGAGGTCTGCTTTAGGGATTAACATATATATTAAAAGCCTATATGAACATATTCTCAATTATACTAAAGAGTGAGGTATATATGCTTTGGGGATTTAACATATATAAATTAAAAGTTTATTTCATGTCATGGGAAAGCTTACAATAACAGTACTATTCATGTTTATTCGTCCCAAATTGATAAAAAGGTTATGCAAAATAAATATTAGCCCAACTCGATGGTTTGGTCGTTTGGCCCATCCAATAGATGATACAAGTTTAAATAATTGACCCATCTATTCAGAATAGTGAAGATTTCGATCAAATTTTTTTTACTCATTTGAACTTCGCTCGAATTAGAACTTTTATATTCATTCACTTTCGATTTCAATATAATAACTTACCTATTATTTTAAATATTTAAAAACATTTTAACATCAATGAAATTTTAACTTTTCAGTATTAAAATCAAAAGCCCAACGATCTTTTTCTCTAACTGGACTTGGTCCGGGTCGGACTAATTATATATAATAGAAACAAAGTTACAAAGATAACAAAACCGAGCCCAATATAAGTTTAGCTCCTAATAAATAAAAAACGTAAGAAAGGTGATTTTAGGAATAATCTTCCAAATATAATCGATCAGCTGACCTACTAGTTTTGATCGAGTTTTAGATAATTATCTCAATTATTTAGAATAATAATGAAGAATTTGATCAAGAATTTCGATTCAATTAATAACTTACCTAACAAGTGCCTATGAAAGAGCTAATTTTGAATTCATTAGGTTAGAATATATATTATAAATGTAGAAACGAGAATTGATAGCTGTCATAAAAATAAAATAATAATATATCTTTGTGAAAGGTGCATGGCTTACTAATTTGTAAAAATAATTAACAATAGTAGGTATGTATGCATGTTAATTTCTAGGTTTATATAGGAGTAACATTTATTTTATCTATATTTACTAGGGTTTGGTTTATCATGCATGGTACGCACGTTACGATTATTTAGGAGAATGACATATCACCCAATTGTTACATTATGTTGCAACATGTTCATTCACCAACATGTCTTCATGTCTACCTTCCATAGGTTCTCCTAAATTTGGTAAAACATAATTGACGCGATAAAATTAGTCTATAAAAAATATAATTCACTTAATTTATTTAAATTCAGATTGATTAATATATAGTAACTCGTATATAATATATCCTAAACTAATCTTTCTAGATTTGACTATTATTATTGAGTTTGCTGCTCTAATTACAATCAAACTAATACTTACTCCGTTTAGTACTTCAGATGCTTATGTTGTATCTAATGTTAAATTCCTTAATAGAGATCAATTCCAACGAGCCTTTCTAATTCTTTTGATTTGTTAAATTGAACGAGTAAAATTAAATATTTATTTTTACTGTAGGTAGCTGGCCACGTGTAATATGTCGGTATACCTTAAATGATGCTTATCCTCGTTTCAATTTTTTTCTTAAGAGCCTGGTAAATTAGGGAAAGAAAATAAATATTTGGTCCCATTATTTTCTGTTTTATTGCCAATAGGACAATAAGACTAGTAGTGCTCTCCATATTTACGAAATTGAATGTGTTTGTTTGTTTAGTAAAATCCAAGTATGAGGCTTGATGAATTTCCTATGCATGAAATATTATTATTCTTATTATTATTTTTGTTTTGCTTGCATGTGTATGGTGTATTGGTAATAGATTTGGCAAAATAATAAGTCTAGGGAAAAAGACAATTTAATAGCCTGCCAAAAGTCATTCATGTGCATGGCATGATAACTAATTCCTAATTCTACACCTACTTTATAATTTACTTATTCACTATCTATCAATTGCGTAAAAAAAATCTTTAACGGTAATTAATTAATGACAATAATCTAATTGTCATTAAATATATATTTTTAGCAATAATTAGCATTTTTTATATATGTCCATAAAGTCTTTAGCGACATTGGATCTAATAACAATTAACTAATGTCGATAAAGGCTTTAACACTCTTTGTTAATGTGGATATTTATTGTCGCTAAAAGATATTTTTGTTGCAATGATCTTATTTATCCCATTGTGAAATATTATCCAACAGGGCTAGGTTAGGGAAACTTGAACATGTTTGTTTTGTGCACACATAAAACAAGACTTTTTCGATGTGGATTATGATTAGATGATTGAGATTTCTCCATCTTATAACTAAAGGTATATTAACTAGAGATTTTAAGGTTAAACATTTGAAAATGAATTTTTTTTGTTCGAAGTGTCGCTTCTAGAAATAAGCCATGCAATGCGTAAATTCAAATTTAGTTGAACCTCAATAAATACTAGACACACGGTAAATAGTAATAACAAAAATAAAATTATAATCATCTGAAAGTTTCCAATACGTCTAGTATATGATAGTCGTCTTTGAGACTTTCGTTGCCATTTTTTTAAAAATGCATTATACAACAATTATATGATTAAAATTTCTAATAAAAGAAAAGAAAAAAATAGTTAATTTTCCCAATTAATTAATTAGGAAATTAGAGTGAACAGATTTTCCCAACAATAAAAAATTGTTTAATTATCCAAAACTTTTGTAAAGTATATTGGTCAGATAAGATATTTAATAGGTGTCAAATATCTTTTTCTGCCTGAGCTAGAATCCTTGTGTCAAATGTCAATAAGATGAAATAACAAATACTTCAGGAAAATTGCAAAACTAAAAGTTCACAATGAAAATGAAAATAAAAATGAAACAAAAGCTGCCGGACATTCTCATATATATTTTTAGGAAAATAAGTAAAATATATCTCGTTGATCGCAATGTGTTAACGACACCATGACATTTATTTAGGAAAAACAAAATATGAAATAATTTGTATTTTTTATTATTCTATATTGAACAATATTCAGAAATGACAAATAAATCAAACTTTGAAGAAACGTAATATAAGGTGAAAAAGGAAAAAGGGAAACTAAGCAAATATTCATAAAAACAAAATAATTACAAATATATACTCTTTATATTCATACCCCACTGAATAATTACATTATATATCCCA